TTTTCCCCCCCCCCCCCCCCCCTCTTTCGTGTCTTTATGCGCTTCAATAATATAGAATCCATGTCCTAGATGGATAGAACGAATGTCGATGTAGTTCAAGCATTTTCCATATTTAGCCAGTTTACGAATTTACTAAAGAGATCGTCCATTTCAATTGAAGCAAAAAGAATACAAATATAAATCGAAAGAATTCGAATTAGTTTTGTGAAAAGTGAATCGAATCAATTGTAAACCACTCAAGTAACGGTGTTAGTTGTCCCATTGTGACCTATCCACGGTGCTGGAGAATGTCTGATTCTTTGTAGAAAACTCACTCGAGCAAGCCCCTTCTTACTAAGCTAAGATTAACATATAAGCAACTCTCCACAGAAAAGGGGAGCTATAGCAAATGTTCTTTTAAGTCTTGAGCTAGTACTATGAATTCACCAAGCCCAGGGGAAGGCCCACTACTTCTTCATTCATGGCCTATTTTTTTGTTTTGATTGATCTTCGACACGAATCACCCCAAAATCGTTCTCGTGGACCATTTTCAGTAAGTGAGATCAATTACAACCACTGCATAAAACACCCATCTGAGAGCATTTAGTATCTGTAATTTCTAATGCTCTAATTTGAGCTGGATAGGCCATTGACATTTTTTATGAGCAGGTGTTCTAGCAATTTAAACCATATATTGTGGTCATCCCTTGCGATAAGAAAGGCAGCTAGCAAAGAGCCTTAAGGAACTAGTAACATGTCACTTCAAGAAATACCAGAGCTACTTAAAAATATCATGCATAATAACATGTCTAGCAAGGATGCACTCAAAGATAACTCCAACAAAGTATCCAAATGTTGAGATAAAAATCCCAGTCTTTCACAAATATATTAGGGTTTTCAAACTTTAAGATAATAAGGGTGATCGTAAGAGCAAATTCAACTATAAAGGTAGATAATAATTCGACTTCCTTCAATCTCTAAATTCTTTATAGAAGAGAGGAGGTAGAGGAAGAGTGGAGATAATCTATAAAAAATCAAGTAGATGATGTCTAGCATGGAATTGTATTAAAAAAAAAAAATCAATTGAGCTAGAGAAATTTAGAAATATAATTGTCGACCATGGTGGGTATATAAAGTGACGTCTCTTTATACAAGAGAGGAGGTAGAGAAAGAGTGGAGATAAACTATAAAAAATTAAATGGACACATATTTATAAAAAAAATCAAGTAGATGATGTCTAGCATGGAATCATATTAAAAAAAATCAATTGAGCTAGAGAAATTTAGAAATATAATTGTCAGCCACGGTGGATCTATGAAGTGACGTCTTGGTTATGTAAAAAAATGTGATTCTAATGCGAAAAAATAAAATTCGTGTTAGAGGAGAGTCAAATAAAGAAATGTATATGCAACCTAATAACGATAAAAATGGAAAGCCCCTATATGTAGAATCATATATTTATAATTCTGTTGCCTATTTCTAGAATATGTAGCTCTTTGTCGAGAGAAAAAATGTCCCTTTTTCAATACGTAACACACTCTATTTATGATTGAATCATAAAATAGTTACTTCATTAGTTATTAATGTGACATTTATATTTTCCTCTTTTTTACACATTTATATAAAGCACCAATTAATTATAATTAATGTGACAATTTTCACTTTTATGCAAAAAGTCGTCGATACGAATAAAAGAAAATAAAAATGAAAATGTTATGCACGATGAGCTACTCAATGGGTCCCAAATTAATTAGAAAACAGATATGTGGAGCATTTACTATGTAATTTATTAAAAGGTTGAAAATAAAGACTGAAAGACCTTTGCCTTTCATTCTTGCTTTAGTACGGAGGGAAAAAAGGGCAGAAGATTTGGATCTGAAAAGGCAAAAACTTGGTGCAATGCCCAGATATTTCTTTACTCTTTATTTTAGCACTAAGCAAGATTCTTTAACTTTGCTACATACTTACTTAGAGTTAAGGCAAGTATATTTGTTGGGAAATTATCATCATCAGGGTAAAATGGAGAAAAAACAAACAATCAGAATATCAAGAAAATGAAAAAAGAGAAGATGAAAAACAAAACGAATATGGAGGCTCAAACACGTGATTATTGTTCTCAAACAATATTTGTCCTCTCTCGGATATGATTTTGGTGTTTAAATGGTTTCGCGGCAAACGATTTGAGAAGGATTAATCAAACTTTGTAGATAATTAATACTCAAACACTTGTATGAATTCTCTAAAACTTGAAGAACATAAAAGGAAGATTGAATATGGATGAAGAAGGCTTTGATTTCTTCTTTGTGGAATGAAGATTATGATCACAAATATAATCAAGTGTTTTTCTTCATGTTAGAATGATCATCAACCATCTATTTATAGCCATGAAATATTGCCATACGAAGTGGTGCCAAAGTATAAGTGAAAGGCTGCCAAATTTGAATAAAAAACCGCCTTCAATGGCTAATTCCATTTTCTATGCGACCGCATAGTTGAACACTGTATGGTTGCAGAGTTTATCTCAAACTAAGGCAAGATTACTTCTGCAAGTATCCGTGTTACCGCATGGCAACTTTGCCCATGCGATCGCATAGACCACATTTCCGGCCATCATCACCATTTCATTCCACACTCGGTATTTTATTGATTTTGACAATATTTCCATCAATATTTATTTAAAGTTTATCTACAAAAATTTTATCTATGTTTGGCCTTTATTTTTTAAATTCATTTATCCTCAAATTCATTTTCAATCACACATTTCATGATACTTACAGCTTTATCAACATTTAAACAATTCATTTCATCAACTTTTATTAAATCTACTTATAAATTTAACTTTTAGCTAAACTTAATAGTCTATGAGACCAACATGACTTACCGGAGCGTCCCATCAACTAGACAACGCTGGATTTTAACTTTTTTAGCGAACATCGTGCATATGTGCATACTTTTTAGCGATCATTCTTCTATACAAACTCTCAAGGTTCCATTTAATTTCACAATATGAATACAATAGCTAAAGTTCATCCCAACCTTAATCTTAGACCAAACTTTCTAGTACATAACTCTTACGAGTCTACTTTAATTTCACAACTCACACACAATAGCTGAAATTCGGCATGGACTTTGACTTCCATGTATATGAACTCTTACGAGTCCTATGATAAATTCAAAACACGGAGACAATGGCTGAAGTTCATTCTAACCATGAATAAACACTAGCTAGAATCAAATGTCCATATCCCTATCGGCTAAATGTACGACATATTAGGGGTTTCTTCATCTCTAGAGAAAGCTTCAAACATTCTGAAAGATTGACGGGCTGGGCTGGTGGAACCCATTTGAACTCTTGAAGCAGTCGCGCAAGCCATAGGTGAACCGTGGCCAAGCCCAAAGCCTTTCCTGGACAGACACGACGGCCCGACCCAAAGGGAGCAAGCCTTAAATCTGAGCCCATAATAGAAACCTCTTCCTCTATGAACCTTTCGGGCTTGAAAGCCCATGGGTCTGCCCATATAGATGGATCATGGGTTATAGCCCACATGTTGACCATAGCCGTCGTGCCAGCTTGGATGAAGTGTTTGTCCACGTGGGTATCATGGGTTGCTAAACGGGCCCAAGAGAGCAATGGGCCTGGAGGATGAAGCCTTAAGACTTCCTTCACTATGGATTGAAGATAGGGAAGTTTGGCAATGTCTGAGTCTCGGACTGGCCCGTTTCGGCCCGTAACCATATCAATCTCACTCTGGGCTTTAGCTTGAATATCTTGGTGCAAAACCATTCTTGCCATGATCCATTCGAGAAGGATGGCAACTGTGTCTGTTCCTCTAAACACCATCTCCTACAACCAAGTATAGATACAAACATACAATTAGTGAATATATTCTTCATATATAATGTACAAGGAAGATGCATGAATTACAAATCGTGTGAGATGAAAGTTTTATGTACGGTTTTGAAATAGAGATTTAAAAAAATAAAAAAGTCAGAAACTATACCTTTGATTGCTACTCTTCTACTTTAGTTGTTACTTTTCTTTCTATTACTTTGAAAGAGCTCATATTGTAGTTTCAACCTCCGGATTTTTGCATATTCTTTATGTTTGCCTTTGGCGTCCATATTTTTGAGAAAAATAAGAAATTCTAATGTGTTTAGGATCATGTTTCTACAAATATAACCTAAAACTTATTTCTTTTGTAAATCAAAAAGGATTTTAGTGTCGACGTAAGACATAATTTAGCTAATTTGGATAAAGAAAAAAACACGCTTCTTTAATAAAGCAGAGTCAAACATGATTTAGGTGTGCTTAAAAGATACTTTTTTGAAAGTTCTTGCATATAACTCTCAGTTGAATTATTTAATTATTAATTGAGAAGAAAGAAGGAAAACAAAATCTTAAGGGAATCTAACTTATTTATATTTCTAGCCTTCGTGTAGCTTATAACTAGGCATTCTTTTTGTTACATAATGCTCATTTTACATTAACAGATATATAATGCTTTACATACAGATGATGCTTCAAAATGAAAGTGGTAAATTTTTATTTTTTTAAATTTTTTGGTTGAAGGATTTCTAATCCAATCATATTTCATCACATCACGTGCATGTAAATCATTATATAAACATATTATGTACATGTAGCACAATCACTTTTTGTTTGGTTGGTGAACAAGGTACGTAAAAAATGAGAAATTCTGTACATTATTTGACTGTAAAGTTGCTACTTTATCCAAATGTAACAAAACATGATTTCATGCGCATGTTTCCTAGGATACCATCAATTGTGCATGTTTTTAATCTACGAAGCAACAAAAGTTATTATAATAATTCTATATACAGAGAGAGTGGGTGGAGTAAGTGGGATGGGGGTAACTTACCCACAGAACAGCCACCATGTCTGCATCATTGAGTTGATCCTCTTTGGGCAACGAAAGCAAAAGACTAAGGAAGTCATCTTCGTTTTCATAGACTCCATTTCTTCTTCTTTCGACTATGACTCGACCCACAAGATCGTTAACTTTCGTCGCTAATTTATGACACCTTCTCTTTACACCTCGAAAATCTAAAAACCGTAAAGGAAAATAATCTGCCCAATTGAATTCCGATATTAGTTCGTACCCTTCCTTAACCATTAAACCCAATTCATCAACTTGTACTAAACCTAAATCACAACCAAACACACTTCCTAGTACATTTTCTAATGACCCTTTTTGTAATATCCCTTTTACCTCCACAAATCCTCTCATTTTCATCTCTTTGCAAATTCCCTCTATCATTTCATTGGCTACACGTTGTCGAATTCCCTCAAGACACAAAATCCTCCTCGGAGAGAACATATGATTTGCAGCGATTCGTCTAAGATGGCGCCAATAATTCCCCGAGGGGGCGAATCCAATGGCACGTTCGAACATAAGCAAACGAGCCGATTCCTTTATAGGACGATCGGAAAACGAGCTCCCACTTAAAATCTCTTTAGCCGTATCGGGATGACTACTGATTATGACTCGAGTAGTACCGAGACTAATGGCCATGAGACGATTCGCGTCTAATGAAGTAGCTATTGAAGCTAATTTTTGATGAAAATGATGCCCCATTTGAGGTAAGAACCCTAAAAAAGGCCAACTTATAGGACCCCTCAAATTTTTAGGGTTTCGAAAATAATTATGATTTCTCCATGCAAAACCACCTGGTACTAAACATAGATTCAGAAACAAGGAAAAAAAGTAGAAGGAAAGTAGCAAAAGAGTAGGGAACCATGTAGTTTCATAAATGGCTGCAAAACATAGGACGGAGAAAAATAAGTTGGCCAAAATAAGTTGTTTCATGATTAAGTAAGTTAAAAGCAGATGAAAATAAGTGAAATTGGAAATAAAAGGTGCCTTTCAAAACCTAATAGAAATGTCTAGAAATGGACTTATGTTTTGTGAGGATCCCATATGAATTGGTTCATATTTATAGTGCACGAAAAGCGAATTGAATCAATGATTTGGTCTATATACCTTTTTTAATTGGTGCACGTATGTAGTACCCTAAAGTGAGGAAATTTTCAAAAAATAAAAAATAAAATAAATTTTAGAGCTTAATATCTTGTTAACAGTGAGTTGATTTATTATTTTTAATTATAATTACTTACTAGTTAATTTGTTGTTTTATTTGACACTTAACCCTTCCCAAGTTAGCAATAATTAATACGTATAGCAATGGGTTTAGCCCAGCCAACTTGGTACTAGAATACACGAGTTTGGCTCGTGTTCACATAACAAGCTAAAAAATAAAATAAATTTTAGAGCTTAATATCTTGTTAACAGTGAGTTGATTTATTATTTTTAATTATAATTACTTACTAGTTAATTTGTTGTTTTATTTGACACTTAACCCTTCCCAAGTTAGCAATAATTAATACGTATAGCAATGGGTTTAGCCCAGCCAACTTGGTACTAGAATACACGAGTTTGGCTCGTGTTCACATAACAAGCTCGATTCGGTCATTTGGCTTATGAGCCTCATGAGCTCAGTTGAGTTGCCCATGAGCTCATGATGCAGCTTGACTTTTTCGTATAATAATAATAATAATAATAATAATAATAATAATAATAATAATAATAATAATAATAATAATAATAATTGAAAATTAAACTCTCTAACCAAAAATGAGCCCACAAGCCCAGAACAATGGTGCCTAACTTGGTCCATTGCTTATAACAAGCCGGAGTCATCCATGGTTCGAGTCAGAGCTAGTCGAACTTTTGAACAGCTCGTCCTATTTGTCATCCCTGTTCTTGCCTGTATTTTTATAACTAATAAGCTTTATTAATTAGGTGAAGTGATTCAATATACCGTAATAGATAAAGGCTCATCATCATGTGTTTTTGAAATTTGAAATGTTGTGTTAGTTATTAGAATAGATATAATTAGGGTTAGTAGAGAAAATGACTGACAGTAGTGATAATGAGAAGTGGATATCATTTCATGAAACCAAATGGAACTAAAACACTTCGATAATAATTCTGAGAAAAAAGTCATTGCAACATTTCTTTAAGCACTTGCATTTTGTTTCCCATATTTAGAAGATCGTGTTGACATTTGAGCCTCCATTTCAATGAGTTACATATCATCACCCTTTTTAGCTAGTAAACAACAATTTCTATTCATCTTACTCAAATCTTAGGAAGTCACATTCTATGTCACGACGCAAATAATTACTCCATTGCGTGAAGTTGTCACTGACGACATACTTATTTTAACCATCGTGATCTTACTCAAGGACTACCACCGTTCAACTTCAATTAAAAATTGATCTTGTGCATCTACATAGTTAAGTTTAGGATGACTTCAAGTCCCATTGTAAACGATAAAATTCCCTTCCAAATAGGGAATCATCCCTATATTAATCGACGTGAGACGTTTTGACACATTTTTTCTATTCATTCGCAACAAATTAGACTATACACGAAATTTAGTATAGAATTATAATAAATAGTATAAGTAGTGAATTAATATAGAAAATACTCTTTTTACTTTTCATTTCAAAGTATGTTGTTGCAGTCCAACCTCACACTTTATTGAATAAATATTTCAGAGGACTCTTCTTGTATTAGTCTCAAGATTGGACACCATAAAAATGAGATCAAGTCGGTCAAATGGCCGTCGTAATTTACCAAGACACTATGATTTATACTTACTCCACACTGCCCCACCTAAACACCAACCATTCTCAACACATGTGGTAAATATAACGTCAACTCCTCATTTCCGACCAATTATAATCAAGAAATTATTATCTAATTGCTAACCATCATTATCGATGTCATAGCTGTAACATAAGCGTCATGGCAAATCTCAACGACCAATCGTAGAATCAGAACTCTGGGCAACGACACACATTTCTAAGTCAATATGTAGCTAAAGCAACGTCGGGTGGCCAAGTGGAGTGGTCTTTCAGCCTATAAATAGGGACAAACAGCCCCCCATCCTAAGGAAGAGTTGAGGGGATTGGGCAACAAACACACCCAAACTTCTATTTTGTGCAATTACTTTGATTCATTTATGCAATATTCAGTTAATTTTCGCTTAATTTGATCTAATCCATTTTTAATCATCAACAAATGTCATTTGAATTATCAATCATGTAACATAATGCAGAGTGTGTAATGAGTTTAGACTGGATAAGAAAATACATTCTTTTCACCATAATTTTATCTGCCTACTGTTAACCATTATCCTTTAATGCTAAATTTTTTATATAGTCTAATCCAGTGAGCGAAATGCAACTTCAGGGTCCCAGTAAAAAAATATGTAGCTAATATTTTTTAATGGTTATCTTTCTTCATTAAACTAAAAACAAATACAAGTAAATCATCTCTAGCTCGGAACCCCTACAACATAGTCAGCAGTCGAAATTTTCTCTTCTACAAATCAACAAGAAGATTTCTACTTTTCCTCGTACTTAGATAAATTGTTGGTGATGAAGATAGTTAAGACATCTCGTTTTTTTGGCTAAGTAGCTCTTAAGCTAGCGATTTAAAGGATTTTATCAACTTATTCTAGCCTAAGATAATAAGCTCGTGCATTTAGTTTATCTTGAACAATCGAGAACGAAAGTTCATTGATATCTTTATTGGATACCTACTAGTATCGAATGAAGAATTTGTCTGCAGAATAGCCATGTCATGTCATTCAGCTATTGTTCCCGAGAAATGACCAATCTTGACCATTCCTCAAAAGAAAATCCAACTCGAGCCAATTCAATTCCACTATACCAATTATCCTCTCAAATAAACTATAATCATTACGGAATCGATAAGCTATTGCCTTAACATTTCACTACTCGATTGAACCCAAAAACAAATATCCCACTATACATTCCATTCCAAATTTTTTTTGTTACAAAACCTCAAAAGAATCCAATAGCATTCAAGTCTTGGGCTAATGCATTTGTATAATTGCAGAAGCATTTTATCCCATAATCTTTTAATAATTAAATAATAAGAAGAAAGTAAAAGCAAACTCGTGGACATTTTTCCATCAGGAAAAAATTTCACCTTTTTCATATATAATTGACCTAACTTTACTAAAAGCATTGGCTTTAATAAAATGTAAAACTTCCCACTAACTCCAATTAAATGGGCTGCCTATGGAAGAAATGGGTAATGGGATATTAAAGTATCAAACAAAAACACCAATAGAAACAATTGAGCCCATACAATACAAATCAATATGATTTAGACAGTTGTAATCTTCAAAAGCAAGAAATCTTTGCAGTCGAGAAATAATTTGATTTTCCTGCTGGACTCTTCTAAGAGTCTCCCTCAAGAGAACCACGAAAAGCTTGATAAAGTGGGAGGAATCAGTTGGACCATTCATCTAAAAACTTATGTTATTTACCATTTCACACGGACCGACACCATTGTATATGTTGTGCTATACACTCTCTAAAGTCACATTAAACTCAAATGACAAATAATAATAATAATAATAATAATCTTAATCTTTTATCACTTGTTTGGTGGGGGATTAAAATCAGATTTTTAGTAAATTTTGATAAAAATTAATGGATTTTAATTAGAACTTTTATTTGAATGTGGAATTATAATTATATGAGGATTGTAACTATTATATCTCTATAAATAAAGATTAGATGGAACTTATATATCTTATGAAATTATACAAAAATCATAATACATAATTCCATAATGTTCAAATTTGGAGAGAGAGAAAGAGAGAGAAAAATTATTTTCTCATCTTACTCAATTATCCAGTGTAAGAATTAGTTTCTTAATTTAATTAATAAGAATATGCTCACCCACCGATGTAGTCTTGACTTTGGAGAATACTATAGAAGACTTAAATGTTCGAAATATCAAGTTCTTGGATTTAAAAAGTTGGAAATTCGTGATCCAAAAGAATTGACCATCAAATTTAGGTAAAAATTCGAATAATTTATTTTTTATATAACATATACGTGAATATTTAGACGATCTTATTTATTGAATTAAAGATTTTTTTTTTAAAATTTATGAATAATTCCGCTTCTGCATTCCAATATTAACAAGATGAAATTTTTAATTGGAACTTCAAATCTTAGTACTCGTTATGAAATGTGTAAGCTACTGGAATTAGATGTATGAAATTATGTTGTTTATGACTTTAGATGATCATCTTATCTAAAATTTAAGTTGTTGTATCAGAGTTAATAGTTATTTATATGAATCATGTCTTCAATGTACTTCATTATGTGACAATTAAATTTATTTATTTTTATATGCACACAGTGTAACGATAAACTCGAAAGTTAGATATTTTGCATTACTCTCTAATGTCATCATGTTAACCATTCACTCCAATAGAGAATAATTAGTTTTCCTATGGAAAGCTAGTAATGATGTTGAAATAAAATGATTAATTTAAATAAAAAGAGTTTTTTGAAATCTTATTTAAGAAGTATTTTAAATAAAATCTTCCACTAAGAAATGGATACGTCCACCTTACTTTTCATATTTAGTGCCTGTTTGAGCCGCATTATTCCAAAAAAGGTGTCGGTATGTCCTATTTAGTGAGATTTCTTTCCACTAATAGTATGTGGGTCCCCTTTGAATAAGCAATAAGCAGTATTAAAATAAGTAGCCCATATTGGATTCAGTCTCAATATACATTTATCACCTCGTTGTTCACTTATTCAAATACGTAAATGACGAGTCTGTTTTACTCATGAGTTTAAGTTAATTTTAACTTGATTGTAAACTACATTTTACGAGTATTGAACTTTGCATTACTCTCTAATCATCATGTTAACCATTCACTCCAATAGAGAATAATTAGTTTTCCTATGGAAAGCTAGTAATGATGTTGAAATAAAATGATTAATTTAAATAAAAAGAGTTTTTTGAAATCTTATTTAAGAAGTATTTTAAA